AGAGCCTGGTACAGAGTAGGAGCACGAGGTGCCTCAGGGGAGTGGGGCACCTTGCGAGAATGTCAGCAACTTCCATTGCCCCAAACTGAGGGTGGGGATGTTCAGAAATACTGATCTGGCTGCTGGTAGACTGCCAAGAGTGTATTCAGGGAGCACAGGTAGTCATCGTGGTAGTCCAAGCCAGACATGCAGGAGCAGCCTCAGGTCAGAGTACAGTGGTTAAGCACACGGACAGGGAAATTTGAATCCCATTTCTGCCATTTAATAGTTTTGTGCCTTGGGTAAATTACTTAAGTTCTCCATGCCTTAGTTTCCTCATCTGTAAAATGATCATACCTCACAGATTTGTTAGGACTGCACCTATAAGAGTGTCTGACTTAACAGCTAAATGCTTTGTAACTAAAAAAAAAAAAAAAAATCTAATAGTGACAAAGAATTGATAGAATCCATTGGCAGGATCTAGATTGGATGTGGAAGATAAGGGAGAAAAAGAGTCAAGAATAAAAACAGGTTTCCAGCTTGGGTGGATGGATGGATGGTGGTGTCACTCAGACAGGAAAGTGGATGGAGGAACTGACACTGGAGGCTGGAAGGATGTCAATCCTTCTGTTAAAACTGTCACATGTGATAACTTAGAAGGCAGGAAATGTACCAAGTTCGAAGCCCTAGATGTAGAGCTTGGAAATCAGAATCTTAGGACCATGGTTGCTACTGGTTGCATTTGTCACGGTACCAAAAAAAAAAGCCAGTTTGAAGCAGAAATCAAAGGTAACTGCATCCAGTGAATCAGGGATGGGGTCAAGTGTCATGGAAACAATGGATTAGGGAGGCTCTCCCAATCAGCCTTACAAAGAAGTCTCCCCTCTCAGGGTAGAGGGCCCTCAAATGGTCTCCCCAATGACACTTCATAATTGTTACAGACCAGTGACTTTATCCTTTACCTTTCTGAATGGAAGTGTTTCCTGCAGTTTTCCTGCCCCTATTCACCACTGTATACCGGCTGTGTAGAGGGCAGATAACCACATCATAGAATTTTAGCTCAATGCCTTACAAGCTGGTACTTTTAGGTTCTCTCCCATGGTAGATATATTTTCTTGAGGGAAGGAGAGTAAAATTAAATATTTAACAATTGAAAGTGGGGCCTGTGCTAGTCACTAGAGCTATTCACAAATATTCTTTCCTGTGCCAAAGGTAGGACTGCAGTTCACTGCCCAAGTGAAGCTGGGCATGGCCCTGTGGTTTGCTAGGGCCAATGAATGTAAATGGAAGTCACGTGTGTCAATTTCAGGCAAATTGTAAAAGTCAGTGCCTCTTTCATTACACTATCTTATTGGCTCTTTCACATGGCTGGCAACGTTCCAGTGTCTGCTCTGTCAGCCTAGGTCAACCACTGATGGGTATTTTAAAATAAGAGATAAGTCTTTAAGCCAATAAAATTTCAGAGGTTTTAACATAACACGACCAGCCTATCCTGATAAGAGAAACTGGGAAAACTGTCAATTATGCCTCCTGTACTTTTTTCTTGGATTGGATCATCTCCATGCCCACTAAGCCACCCTTAATCTCCTTACTGGGTCACCATATGATCAATGGGACCAGCTTTCTGCTTCTAGTCTTGTTCTCTCCAACCAACCAAAATGGGCTTTCACAAACACCCGTTCCCTCAAACTCACCACCCCTCAACGGCTTCCTGTTTGCCCTTGGAAATGGTCCAAACATTTTAACATGGTGGAAAAGTCCATCCAGCACTGCTTGTGAGTCTCACCCTCATACTCAACTGCTCTTAGTTTCTCAAACTTGCCAATGATCTTGCCTGGCTACCTTTAATACTTTGGCACCTTCTCTTTGTTGGAGTAATGTCTGCCATCCTTCAGATCTCAGCTCAAATGTCTCAGGGAACTTTTTTGACCACCCAGACCAGGTTAGATGTACCTCGTAACAGCTAGTACTTCCAATATAATTTAAACGTTGTTACTGCTTTTGATCAGTTTTTCAACAACACTGTGGGTTCTCTGAGGGCAGGGACCATATCTATTTTGGGCACCAGATAAAACTTTTTTTTCCTAAATGATAGTAGGGGGTAAAATAATCATATTTTGTTTTAATCTTTTTTTTAACAGTAATAGTAAGCCTTGACATTTTCCTTTTTTTTAACTTATTTTTCCTTTTGGCTGCATGATCTATGTCCTTTGCTCACTTACAATCTTAATATTGACGTGAGCCAATATGCCACTAAAAATTTTCTCGTAGCCACATTAAAAAAAAGATAAAATTAATTTTAATATATTTTATTAAACCCAATATAAGTATCAATAAAATCCAGTATATAAAAATGTTTTAATATGTAATCAAAATAAAAATTAGTGAAATCTTACTTTTTTTTTTACTAGATCTTTGATATCTGGTATTTACATTAGCAGTGCATCTCAACTAGGACAATACATTTTCAAAGGCTAAAGTGAAAGGTAGTCCTCCCAAAACAAAGTTTTGTTTAACAGAAAAATATTTTAACACTGCCTCATTTTTTACATTTAAATTTAAAAAATAAATAGTTCAGTTTCTTGGTTGTACTAGCCACACTTCAAGTGTTTAACAGCCACATGTGGCTAGTACCTACCATACTGGACATCATGGATATAGATTATCTTCTCCAATAAAAAACTTCTCTTTATATCTTATCTACTCACATTTCCTAATGTTTCTGAAACCTGAATAAGGCCAATAATGCCCTAAACTCTAAATTGCTTATTCTAACCAAAAGTTGAGAGCCAATACAGTGACTTATTTATCTGTTTTAGAGTATCCTATATTTAAAGGAACCAAACTGCCATTTCTACCCATGATCCCACCCTACAACTGTAATTTCCTAGCCTTGAAACATTTTTGAAATGCCATATATGTATATGATAGTGATGCAAGTGATGCAAGAAAGGGAATTGATGCTATCTACGAGGAATCATGCCATGAAATCTGCCTACAAAAGACTGAAATCTTACTTTTAAAATTTTATTTTTCCCCCAAAGCCCCAGTAGATAGTTGTATGTCATAGTTGCACATCCTTCTAGTTGCTGTATGTGGGACGCAGCCTCAGCATGGCCGGAGAAGCGGTGCGTCGGTGCGCACCCGGGATCTGAACCCGGGCCGCCAGCAGCGGAGCGTGCGCACTTAACCGCTAAGCCACGGGGCCAGCCCCTGAAATCTTATCTTTAAAGAATGTTTGGGAGAGCAAAACACCAATGTTGTCTTGTAAATACTGTTACATATACATACATATAGATGTGGCAGTATGGCAGGTGGTTTTGAAAATATGTCCACAAACTTTTTGACATTCCACCCAAGAGATGAAGCTTAATACTCCTCCCTTTGAGTGTTGGCCTGACCCAGTGACTCACTTCTAACATACAGAATATGGCAGCCCAAGATTAGGTTATTAAAAAGACTGTGGCTTTCATCTTAGGCATGCCTCTTTCTTAGATCACTCCCTCTGGGGGAAGCCAGGTGCCAAGCTGTGAGCTCCTATGGAGTCACTTATATGACAAAGAACTGAAGGAAGTCTCCATCCCATCACCTAGCAAGGAATCAAAGGCTTTCATCCAACAGTCTGTGAGAAACTGAGGCCAGTCAATGACCACACGAGCGGGCTTGGAAGAGGATCCTTCAGCCACAGTTAAGCCTTGAGATGACTGTAGCCTGGGCTGACGTCTTGACTCTAATCTCAGAAGAGACCTTGGACCAGACCACTGAACTTAGCTTCTTCCAGATTTCTGACCCATAGAAACTGTGAGATGATGTTTACTGTTTTAAGCTGCTAAGTTTTGAGGCAATGTGTTAGGCAGCAATGGATAATTCATACAATGGCTTATAGCTTGAAAAACCTCCCCATTGCCAAATGAGGCATAAATCAAGTAAGATGTTTCTTTTCCCAAGCAGTCTAAAACTAGCACATCCAAATACCTGTTTCTAGGGTGATATACTTACTAAAACCATGATGCTACTGCTCAGTTTTTTTTTTTGTAATTTTTTTCCCCCCAAAGCCCCAGTAGATAGTTGTATGTCATAGTTGCACATCCTGCTAGTTGCTGTATGTGGGACGCAGCCTCAGTATGGCCGGAAAAGCGGTGCGTTGGTGCGCGCCCGGGATCCAAACCCAGGCCACCAGCAGCAGAGCGCGCATACTCAACCGCTAAGCCACGGGGCCGGCCCTACTACTCAGTTTTTGAAATTGCCCCTCAGAGTATGAATCTTATTCTTCGGAATTTTGCCAATTCAGCATTTGAAGGTATTTGTTATTTGCAATAAGTCTGGTGGTGAATAAGTAAACTTTTTCATTATGGATTAGGCTTAAGGCATGCTTTGAAAGTAAAAGGCTTAATCTTCTGGTGTAGGAAAATGCCAAAAGCCCTAAGAATGTCTGATATAACATCAGCACAATCAAATTAAATGTATATTCCTAAAATGACTAGCTTGAAAGATGGTACTAATTTGGATGTGTAATTTTTGGAATTCTTCTTCCCCTCTAAGGTCACTACTTTATAGTCATAATTCATAGGATGGATAAATCAAGCCAGATTTTTTTTTTTTTTTTGTGAGGAAGATCAGCCCTGGGCTAACATCTGTGCCCATCTTTCTCCACTTTATATGGGAGGCCACCACAGCATGGCCTGACAAGTGGTGTACACGGCAGCAACCGGGATCCGGCCCCGGGCCGCCAGCAGCGGAGCTCCAGCACTTAATCGAGCACTTAACCGCTACGCCACGGGCCCAAGGCAGAGTTTTTGAAAGCCATAATATACATTGGGAAATTAGTATCCTTTGTTATTTACATTAAAGGTTTTCTTTGGAATTAACGGAAATGACCACTAGATGCCACTGTTTTTTTTTTTCAGATTCAAAAGCAGGATGAAAGAACAGTTCAGAAACAACAAAATCAATTTTCATGTCATAAACACTAGATCAGAAATTGTTGGATTATGTCAATCAAGAGCCAAAACTCTGTTTTTACTACACAGAAGTTTATTGTGAAAGTAAATTAAACGTACAAACACACAGTACGGCTAATGGTGGCAAAAGCAATCTGGTAGCTTAAGGCAAGTTTTAATGGAGATGAATTTAGAAAAGATGATGCAATGATGTAATTTTGTTTAAATATAGATTACGGAAAAATATCAAATTGCATCAATAACTTAATAAAAGTAGTTTTCAAAGCCTGTACTACTGGAGAAAAAACGCTCATGATCTTAATGCCAGCATTAAGACAGACGGAAGCAGCACAGTGCTAAATGACAGGAAAAATTCAGTATTTACAGAAGGATGGCAACATGAACATTTAATAACATTTGATCTTAGTTATTGGTGGACTGAAAGCCCTTAGTTAGAAGCAATAGAGAAAAATGTACCATCATCATCTTATTAAAAAAAATTTAAGTGCAGAAGTCAAAAAACCAAGGAGGTCTGTGATAGAGTAACCTTAAAACACCACTGTAAGGACCACTTAAAAGACGATTTCCTCAGGGGAAATTAGGGCACTGAGTGTGTAAACATGTGAGCTGCACAACACCAAATACCAACCAAATTCATTCATAGTACTTAGTTACACAAGATCAGCATGGTCTTTTATGATGTGTTATTGTTTATAACAATTTAAACATACTCATTACCATGCATGACTTCAAATATATAACAAGTATTTTTATTCTGAGATACAGGATATGTTTATGAATTATAAGACCTATGTACAATGAAAGTCACACCTCCCTCATCAATCAAATATATATATATGTTTTAAATGCAATGACCTTACTCAGACTTCAGTTCATTTTCTAAATTGACCATGTCAGTTTTCCAAACTCTTTAAAATAATGCTATTCTGCTATGATAAAATACATTTTTGCAAAAATTCAGAAAGGTAGTAACATTTAATGAATGTGACCATGAAAAATATTTGTAAGGAGGTGCCAAATGACTTAGCACTTTTTTCCAGTCTTCTATTAAAAAAAAAAGTTGCATTCGATTTGACAGTGAGCCTATTTAAAAAATATTCTTATACTAATTCATCTCAAAAGGTTCTACTTATAGTCCTTTTGGAAAATACTATATAACTTATTAAATTTTTTCCAGAATAATTAATGGAAGAAAATGTATCCTCTGCACAGATGAACATTTTCTCTCTAAGACTAATCTTTCATCACCCAGCATTGTTTTTACAAAAGCATGCATTATAAAATACACATAAAAGCAGCTACCTTAAACATGATTTTAATACAATATTACCTTTGTAGCTGATTCATCACTGTCTCCAGTTTAATATGCTGTTACATACATGAAGAAGCTCCAGTATCCCTTTTCTGATTGACTTTTTAAAAAAAATCCCTGAATAAAACAGAAGCCAGCCTGCGACTTCTTTAGGCATTTCAGTAGAATGGTATTATTTATGAAGAAGAGTATCTCCAACACAAACTAAGGATTACAGAACTGAATCTAAAACAGATCTGGGGCAGATTAGAATTAATACCAATTTAAAATTTTTATGTTTAAAAAGGAAAGAAAAGGAGCTGATTATCAACATTTAAAAGGATACTGCAACTTTTAACAACTGTAAACTTTGTGTTAGAAGGCTGTGGCAGACAGCTCTATGCTACTAGGTTTTTAGCTTGTAAATAATGCAAACACATCAGCAGTTTTAAAATGCCATAGACTATAAAAACACAAAAGGAAAGGGGGAAACAAAACAAAATAACAAGAAAGCCTACCTAAAATGAAGCTGTATAACCAACACATCTAAAATTACAAAAAAAAATTAGAGCAACTGATGACAAGAAAAAAACCCTCTGATAAAAATTTTAATTTCTTGACTTGTTTTGTAATGACATGAACTTTTAAATTAAAATGGAGGGAAAAAAGAGCTTTACAAGTGGATAGTTTCAACTCACTAAAATAATGCCAACAAGGTAAGCTTGTATAGAAAAAATTTCAAATTATTACTGGCTACATGCATACAAAATTAGAAATGCAGGTATTATAATCATAGTGCAAAACCATGGCAGTTTCTGATGTCTTGTTACTGCCTAAGGTTGAGAAACAGACCGTAGTAACTCCAGTTATCACAGTTTCTGGTCTTTTAATTAATTATTTCTGCCAACTAGAAACAATATATATGTAAAGATGGGGGGCACATCTGCTGTGCTACCAATTAACGAAGTTTGAGGTCATCACCACCACCTAAATTGGAACCAGGACTAGGGTCTTGTTGTCTTCTTGCCTGCAATGACAAAATCATAATTTGGGATCAAAACGTGTTTTGCAAATCAAAGTGCTAGATAAATAAAATATAAGACACAGTAGCACATAAGAAAAGTTTGTAACTAAAATATTTTCAGCCAATATCTCCAGATATTAAGAGGAAAAACAATTTAAATTATATATGAAATATTTTGCTAAAGTTTCCTTAAAAAACAAGAATAAAAATCTCGTTATATTCAAAAGAGCATTATCAAAATATGTACTATGTATAAAAGAACAACAAATCTACCTTTACAGTTTTGAGACTGTAAAGCAAAAATAGAAATACAAAATTAGAGTCCTTGATATACTTATATACCTGGAAGTACCTTTACAACAATACTTAACAACAAAGGGGTTCGATAATTATAAACAGAGGATTTCAATTTTCACTTTAGAATAAACATTTCTAGGTAAACTATATATGGCAAATTAATAGAGAACATCTAACAACTAACATATTGTGCATGACACTCTCTGCTAATGTAACATTTTAATATAACATAGTGCCCCTTTGGTCTACACACATTTACTTTCAGTCTCTTTCACAAATTCCAAAGCATGTTTCTTTCACCAACTTTCTTTAGTGACTACAAACGTCCATCAGGCACAAAAATCTGTTCATATACAGAACTGGTTCCTTCAGCAGCAGTTGTCCTATGTTAGATAATGGCAACTCCATTTTACCAGTTGTTTTAGGCAAAAACCCTTGGGTCAACCGTAACATCTCTTTCTCTCACACTCAACAGTGAATTCTGACAGCTCTACATTTAAATATATCCTGAATCTGACCACTTCTTAGTAGCTCTACCACTCTCACCCTAGTCCAAGCCACCATCATCTCTCATCTGGATCTTGTTTTTAGCCGCCTCTGTTATGTGCCATATGCCAGTAATTGGGACTAACCGCAATTACCTATGCAATCTTTAGCTACATGGAATCATGTATTAATGTCACCAATTGATTCTCCATTGTCTATGTCAGTTTTTGGAAACAAATAAAAATCAAAACATTCTGATTTCAAGTCTTAATATCTAAAACAGTTGTTAGAGAAGGAGCCTCCTTGACCTTCAAAGAAACATCTCAACAAGTCACATTTGTACTGTAAGACCAAGTTCAGCCAGAAGTTCCAGCAATGTCATCATTTCTCAAGAGGGTTATATTGTTTAGACAGAAATGACACTGCCTTATTCACTTTCAAACAAATCAAATAAAATCCAACACTAACGTCTGAAATCTTTCTTATAAATTTTGATATGTTTCTCTAGCAGATTTTAATTATTTTTTATTAGCAGGCTATATAATGACTAAATTTTAACATATTCCTTTCAATTAACTAGTCAGGTTAAAGTTATGCTGCATGGTTACAGACTGAAAGAGCTATGGAATGCACGTGCATCAGAAAAACAACTTGTGTTCCATATAGGATCAATGCTAAAGGTAGTGTGAGAAAAGATCAATGCTGCAAAATCAGAGATGGTGATATAAGCATCTGGTTTCAGTCAATGAAGGTTAGAAAGGGGCTGAGCAATGAAGAAACACAGAGAAAAATCAATCTAATTATATATTTATAAATCACTACAAATCTACCAATAATACTTTGTGAAAAGGATATTTCAGCTTTTGTCTTGGGATAACCGTAATTTTCAAATTATTTTAATAATAATGGGATGACTCCAAACTAGTAACAAAGAAAAGTCATCAGCAGCCAGAGTTCTCCCTACTGGTCATGGCTGTGCAAAAGTTGTCATGGGTTTATCTGTCTAAAATATATTTTTGGTAAAAGCAAGGAAAGGAGTAAAGAAAAGCTGTTTTGCTATTTATTTGTGTTTTAGTTTCTATTTACATTGTGAAGAAGGAATGAGGAAGATGTAAGGGAAGACACTGTGAAGGAGGGTCAAGAGTAGGAAAATAGAAGAGGAGGAGTCTGACAGAGTATGAATGAGCAGAAGAGGGAAGAATGAGAGAGCTGGGGGACTGGGAGGAAATTTAATGCTAGAAGGGAAGATGTATCAACTGTCGTATGAAGGAGACAAATACAGAAACAGATTAAGGTTCAGTGAAATAGCTTCCACAGGACTGAAATTTAACAACTGAATTAGCTGCCTTGAGAAGCAGTGTTTTCTACTGCGGCAGTTTTCTCATGGAGGCTGGATGTTTTAGAAGGAATTCTTCTGTGGGTAATAAGCTAGACCAGATGATGGCAAAGAAACCTCTGAATTCCATTATTCTAAAAACATAAAGTATATAATTTCTAGTTTCTTTCTCCCCCGTCAATCCACAAGGGCTCTTGATTCTAACCTTTTATTAACAGTTTTTCAGAATAGAGTTTTAATATAAAGCAGACACCCATGAGCCTGTTCAGAATACAAACTGAACATTTTTATATTTTTATAAATCTATAAATAAATTTATAGATTTATAAATTTATTTTTATTTCTAAATTTATAAATAAATAGTTTTAATATTTATAAAGAATCAATCTAGACATTTTACTGAAGACCTCTTACTACCAGTTGCTCCTGTTTTCTTTCTCTCAATATACCATCACCCAGAAACACGGCAAATCCAATTTCTAGGAGGCAATCACAGGATGAGTCCAAAATGAAAAGAGGAAAAAAAGTCACCAGGAAGTAGAGTTTTCCCTACTGGTCAGGGATGTGCAGAAGTAGCCCAGAGCAGGGATACCCAAGTGAAAATGAATAAAACTTCTTGGCTGATTTCCATTCTTTTATTATCAAGATCACCAAGTTGCTGAACATTCTTCATGAGAAAATGCCCTAATAATTAAAAATAGCTACAATTTGAGTGTATATTATGGCCAGATGCTGTGCTAATCACTTTATGTTTGACACCTGGCTAAAAGTCCGAACACAGAATTACAGTCATGCACTGCATAACGACGTTTTGGTCAATGACAGACCGCATGTATGATAGTGGTCCCATAAGACTAGTACCATATAGCCTAGGTGTGTAGTAGGCTATACCATCTAGGTTTGTGTAAGTACACTCTATGATGTTTGCACAATGCTGAAATCTCCTAATGACGCATTTCTGAGAACGTATCCTCATCGTTAAGCAATGCATGACTGTATAAAATTTTAGAGCGGAACAGTACTTCAGAGATCTGGTTCAACTCTCATTTTACAGATGATGAGCCTAAGACCAACAAGGTTAAGTGATTCCCCTAAGGTTACACAGTTAGCTGGTGGCAGTCAGAACACAAACTCAGACCTCTGGAAAAATCTTTAACTCACAATTAAGCATTTATATCAGCTTCTTAAGTCACTGTTATTTCTCCCGATTGCTAAGGCTGGAGGAGACACAAAGCAGAAATTTTAAGTCCTAATATGAGAGAAAGGAATGCACTTTGCCCAAACTCATTAAAACGGTAAAAACCAGGTTAGTAGACAATTATAAACACCTGTCAGATAAGTAGACTGCAGGAGCTGGTCTAATAGCCATGTCAAAAATATAGTTCTTACAAAGTATACTTCAGGAAAACTTTAAATATGAAGTGACATTTCAAAATAAAAGAGATAGTGGAAACAATCTACATTTCTGGGCTTGGACTGGGATTCTGGGCTCTACCACTTTAGCTACGTGATCTCAGACAAGCTTTTCATCCTCTTTCAGCCTCAGTTCCTTAAAATGGAGATACACCTTATAAGAGGATTTAAGAATCAAGTGTAAAGCAAATATTGTGGTGTATCCAGCTACAACACCATTTCTCAAGTGTGGCACATATATGCTATTGCTATTACAACAAAGCTGCTCATCACTTCCCAGTTTATCTATAAGAACTTTCAAATGTTAAGAAAATCTGCATCCTGCAGATAAGACTAATTTTTACAAGCTAAAAACAAGGTTAAAACAAAATAAATTTAATAAAGTCTACATCTCCTATGATAGAGAGCAAACCAAGACTCTCTTCCTCTCCTAATATGGGAGAAGACAGATCTAGTATCCTCTTCCTCAATGATCCTCTTCCGATTCTCAGTCTGAGTTCATATTCCCAGTTCACTCTCATCTACTGCCTTTACCCAAAACTCACCTCAGGAAGGCCCAGTATAGACAGATTCTTATGTTAACTTATCCTTACACAAAACTGAGTGTTGGCAGGGTTAAGTGATTTGAAAACTCAAGTGTGGGAATTCAAAATAAATAGAGCTGGGATTTTTTTCTTGGACCACACAGAATCGGAGACTCCAAAAACATACAAAACACAAATACAAAACCACATAAAGCCTTTTGCCTGTTTTTATTTCCAAATAGTTTCCACATAAATTCTATGATTTGTTGCATTGTATTACAACTACCCATACTACAATAAGCAATAATTATTTACCCATTATCTAACATTAAAGACAATTATTTATTTTCTAATGCTTTATAACCTAACCAAACAAAAGTATGTTCTAGATAACGATAGGGAAAATCTCTTTCAGCACCCTATCACCCAGCAGTTGAATTAAGAGCCAACAGTACCATATTACAGTTTTAGGTTAAGAGGTCAATCAAGTTGAAAGCAGTCTCTAGACAAAGTGTGTGTATGAGCTGCTATCATGCATATGAGGAGGTATCTTTCCAATTTATCTATGACCAGAACACTCAGTCTGTCCTTTATTAACCACAGTCTCCCTTCACAAAAGCCAAAAAGTAAGGCATCTGAATTAGTTATAGAGATGTGTAATCTGAAGAGAACTGCCACGGGTAACATGTCAACATTTTTAAATCGTGGAAGGTTTCTCAGGTAGAAGAGGCACCAGGCTACTCCTATGTGGCAACAGATACCAACGGGCTGGCATTTCACAGAAGAAATGTCTGATTATTTTTTCTTTTTTAAAGTCTAATTTTTATTAAAGTACAGAAGAGTGTACAAATCATAAATATATAACTTGATGGATTTTCATTAAGTGAACACCATCCATATAACTAGCACCCAGATCAAGAACTATTACATTATCACAACTTGGGAAG